GCGTTGCCTTAACGAGCAGCACGTTCCTGCAATGTGGAAGCACGGAATAATAACTCTTATTTATGAAGGATGTAGTCGTTCCTACCCAGCCAATTATCTACCAGTGACTCTACTGCCAGTGATTTCAAAGTTATGGCAGTTTCACTGCGGACGCACCTATGTCTTATCAGGACGACTTTGGTTACATTGCGCAATAGCAACACAGCTTCCGCCAGAATCGGTCAAACACAACTAATCTATCGTTGCACGAGACACCTGGACCGAAAATGTGGACGCTGGTGTAGGAGTTGATGCAGATTACCTTGATTTCTCTGAGGAATTCGACCGGTTAGACCATCGTATCCCTCTCTCCAAAATTCAAGGATGTGGCATTGGGAACATTCTCGTCGGATGGATCAACAAGTTTTTCTCGCACAGGCATCTGGAGGTCAGAGTACGTGAATCCATGTCAGACAATTCACGTCGCATATGGAGTGCCACAGGGTTCGGTATTGGGTCTCCGTCTATTTTTGGTCTTCATAAACGATCCACTGAGTCAAATCGTGTCAAACGGGTTCCTCTAGGCTGATGACATCAAAGTTTGGCGAGTGATCAGATTTCCGGAAGACCGTATGCAGATTCCAATCGACCTATGCAAGATTTAGGGATAGTCGGTCCAAAATCGCCTTTTCTTCGATGTGGCTAAATGTGGAATTCTTCATTTAAGACACCGATTGGTTCACACATATAACCTGGGAGACCAGGAAATGCAACACCGTTCTCTCGAATAGGATCTCGGTGTGTTGGTCCAGGAAGATCTGGGCTGCTCGGAGCAGTCCAAAAGGGGCATCGAAGAAGCTTATCCAAATCGTGGGGCCTTTACGGGGAGCTTTCAGATAATATGAAGCGTCGATTCTCTGTCCATTACTTCCAGTTTATATACGCCCACTTGTTGAATATGCAATTCAAGCATGATGCCCATCGCTAAAGCGGGATCTCACGGTCTTGGAGCTGGCACAACTTTGGGCGACCAAAAAAGACAAGGGGCTGTGCCAGTTGTCATTAGAACATCGCCTCAGGGTGCTCGGCTTTTTCAGTGGTCGTTATCGCCGTTTTCTTGGTGATCTAATCATGTTTTACCAAAGATTAGGCAACACTCATCACCCCTGCCATCACCTATTGAAGCTGAGTCGCAACCACGGGCTGACATATTCTCATCTCAAATTGGCAAAACAATACAATCGGTTGGTGTGCCAAATTACCGCTTGTCACTGCTTTTTTGTCCCACGTGGAATACCCTCTCAGAAGCTGTTATTTCAGCCCCAACGTTAGCCATGATCAGAGCACGTGTCGACAGTGCACCGACCACACTGCACCAAATGAGGTAATCCAAACGACCCATACAAACATCAGAAAAACATATATAAACCAAGCCACCTCCATTTTTGTCCGGAAACCAAAGACGATAACCTTGAATAGTGCATAAAATGGACGGGGATGCTGTAATCGGCAAGTTCGCAAGTTGCAGTTGTTCACTATTTTTTGTTTCCATTTTTACCTTTATTTTGCTTACCCTAACCGATCATCCGGCGAAACATATCAATCTTCGGTTTTTTATCCGCAATTTAGCATTGACCATTGATCGTTGTGTTCTGAAATCTCTCGACGACACGAACGGACTGTATGCAAACGGAGTAAGCCTACATTGGACACTTAGACGCCGCTTCTGCACTTGGTCTGAAGATATTGCCACCCGTCCGTTCTGTTCCATAATAAGACGGGTGTTTTGTACGGCACATCCGCCTATTGCCCGATCGCAATACGTGAGGTGCAGACAGGAAAGTGTACAGCATGTAGCTATCCGTCTCATCCCCAGTTTACGAGGTTTGTCCTACGAGGACCAATGTGGGAGACTAGGGCTTTATGCCCTTTTCAAATCGTCGACTTCGAGTTGATCTCATTATGACGCACCGAGCACTGCACCTGGGCCACTTTCCTATGTTGAAGCCACTGCTACATATTCGCGCTTCAAGTAGCACACGCGGACACCGTTACAAACTAATAGTACCGGAATTAAAGCATATCGCTCCCCATCTATGCTTTGAGCATCGAATGGTGAAATATTGGAACCAATTGCCGGAGCAGTTAGTCAAGGCGAAACCAGTGTCGGAATTTAAGTGATTCCTTGATGCTCACTTTGACGACTGCAGGTATAGGGAGCGTATCGTACCTGGATGAGATGTAGTGAAGCTGCCAAATGCTACCACCGCGCAGGAATCATCGATCTCATTCCGCGCATGTACCCGATCCTCCTACGATGGAGCAACACAGAATTTTATCTTCTCGCTCTCTATTCACATGATTCAGTATTTAAGATTGGCTAGGTAACAATTAAATTCTACTTTCTTACATAATCTTGCGTGGCATAAAGAGCATAGCGAAGGGAACCCTGTGTAATTCTGGTTGGAGACCAGATATGATGTTTGCAATACATAATTTGCAAGTGTAACATGTCCATTGAGGAACACAGTCAGACAGATGTTTTATTTTGGAAGATTCAGCCTCATATGGAACAGGTTACCTAGTTGTATACGATGTACAAAAAGCTCAAGCGTATTCAGTAAAACGATTAAGTTTTTCCTGGAACTTGCAAAAGTGAAATGGATCTTAACCTTTTTAAAGACAAAATGAAAGGTTGTTTGAGGAAAGACCAAATCATATTCGAAACAAAAGAGTGCCTGAGTCATTTGTCGAAGCTATTTAGGCTGTCTTCGCATTTTCATAATAATACAAAACTTGACCTGTGTTAACTTTTTATACTCATCCCCACATCAGGTATTCCATTTTCGTCTACGCTGGGCGACCAAAAACGAATATATTCTTTGCGATCGAGGGCAGGGAATTAATGGACTAATCCTCTTCCAATTTTGATGGCTACAGTTGGTGGTGATTTGCGATAAAGTAGCCATAAATGCAGTGAGGCTGTAAATTGTATTTGGATTACGTTTAGTGCCCTTTCTTCTGTACAAAACCCTGGACGCAGAGCAAAAATTCTTTCTTTCCAAATCACTGTACTGCGGTTGTTCACTGATATTTTACATCAACTTGTGCTTGGCACACCTGCAAAACTTTATAATAGTTATTATGTTTTTAACTCCTTGTGCATTTTATTCTATCACATTTCGTTGTTGGTTAAAACTGAGCTGATCTCTTGAGTTGACGAATTACAGGTATCAAGCTAAAAATTATAACCAAGCAAGACGTCCTGCCAGTGACTCACAGGCTTATAATAAAAGTGCCACACTGGAATTATGCGCATAACGGAACAGGTTGAGACTTCACCGCACATAATGTAGGTATTAAAACAACCCCTACAATTATTGTTTCATTGATGATGGCGTACTTGCCACTTTGCCACACAGGCAGACAGCTAATTGGAGCATGGAAGTGCAGGTGAAATGAATCGAAAGAATACTGTGCATGGATGCGGTTCCCCGGGGGACGGTTCAATGCACGAATTAACTCTTTTATGCAAGCTTTTTGTGCAAATTGATCAGACCACTCAGCTGAACCGTGGAAGAATCTACCGTTTATCTATCGATTGTTGCACCGTTGCGCTGTTGCTTCCCTGGCACGCATTTTATTTTATCCAATTTGTGGTATTCGATTTTGCAATTCCCTCGATTAACAACCTACGGGACAGGATAAGTCAATGATTTTTGTGTTTCATAAATCATTATGTCATGGTTCGCCAGAGGTTCTCTAACAAGGTTTCCAAAAAGAATATGGTAAATACGCATTCTCTAGGAGTCAATTCCCAAACATCCGTGTAATCAGATGGTACTGCCCAGTCTTGCTGGTAGTGTATGTAACCTATTTAAGGTATCTTTAGCTTGACCACATAGTGCCGGTTAATGGAAGCCGAGACAACATACCATAAGCGACTTTTATCGTTCGCCAAATAAAGTGTAAATGCTAGCGATTCTTCTTATGGTTCCCAGAGTTGAGCTAACGCAATTTCGAAATTTTACTATTTCGAAGGTATTTCTTGCCACTTAAGATGTATAATGTTCTTTAAGTTTTGTCTTTGAATATACTAGTTTCAATCTACGTATGGTTTCACTATTATGGCCAACTCGATAATTCCACACTTGTTGTCTTACACTTTCATTATTCAGCGCAGCTATCTGCTGTAAAGCTGCCAGTAACAAGGTTGCGGTATGCCAGAGCCGGTTGTGTAATAGATTATCTGGGCCGGTGTGAAATCTGTTTAACCACTCAACTTGAGACTTTGTTTGGTAAGAAGTTTTTCGAAATTCTAGACCGGAGGTAAAAAAATTCTAGCCACTTATTTCACGCGATTCGGCACCTACCGAGTATAAGACGCTACAGTGTAAGAGTGTTTATCATAGATCTGCTGTTCTAACCATACGTGACGTTGTTGCGTTCAAGTTTGTTTGTTCGCTTTGTAGTTCGTTTGCTTTTATATTACCCGCTGTTAGTCAAGGGATAACAAACACATTCTCTTAATCGGCCTGCTATTCTACGAGGTAGTTGTCCCTTCCTTCAACACCAGAGACAAATCATCACCTCTCCTTCATTCTGCGCAAGAGAGAAATCGGCTTCCCGGACCGGATCCATGCTGGCAGAATGTTAAACCGTCAACCTGCTAAACACCCCAACACCCAGTTGTTGTCTTGTTCACCGGGCTGGGCGATTTGCTTGCAAAAGTGTGTAGGAGTGTGCAGTTTCGTACGGGAAGCTGGTGGAAGGTACTGATGAAAAGCTGACGAGACGTTTGCAAACCAGTTCTCCAGTTGGGTGAACACCCAACCATGGGTATCAGTTTTTCGCCTAATCTCCAACCACAATATGCTTCTACAAGTAAGAACAGAAACGCAACCTGTCTAACCTATAGTTAATGAAGCAGCGTTGTCAACAGATAAATCAACAAAAAACATCAAAACAACACGAAAGGATAGACAATATCTAACCAAAATGGAATACGTTAAAAAAAAGACGGAAGCAGTAAACGAACGAAAAGTGCTAGTCAAATATTTGCCGTATCTGTACATTCTGTACAGCTTAATGTGATGGTAAGAAGCGTGTTGTCACCACCAGTAAAACACACAATGCAGCTGAGGAACGGGTGCGAAGCGTCGTAGGAATGACGTCCCTTCTGCCATATCAGTGTTGACTTGCGTCTGTTGTCCACTTTTCGGACTGGTGATTTTCTGTGGAAACGTCTAAGAATATTGGAATGGACGTTTACATTTATTAAAGATTAGCCCACGTATACAACTCGCGGGGCAGTTCCACGATGTTTATAACACTCCCGCATTAAGCATGGTCTATGTAACATTCAAATAAGCAGTGTCAACCGTAATTCATTTTCCTGCATGCGTATCACACTGGTAAGTCTTTTGATTTTATGTACCATTAGTTCGTCTACTACAGTTACTCTGCCTGTGTGAGGAGTATTGTGCGCCCGTTTTGTAATCCTGTTGATTTATGCCAGCCGAACCTGCTGCAAACCTCAGGTAGAAGCCAGTATGGTAATCTGACCTTATTTGGAGTTAGACATATGTGAATTACCAGGTGGACTAGAATCTCATATGTGAAAAACACCGGGCTTCATAGACAACGTGACAGTGATTAGCCTAGTAACAAATCTGGTAGCGGACTGGGTGTTAGTTTTGGAGTACATGGTAGGTGAAAAGACAAATCGAACTGTATTTTTATAGAATGGAAGCCCTAACCTGGATACAACACATGTAGATGTGCGGAAGTTAAATAGATGATTCTTATTTCAGTTAAAACTTTACATCAAGCTGTCTCAAAATCACTCGTGTGCGATCATATAAAATATGGAATTGGAAGCGTTTCGGCCGTTATTATCTCCGAACATGGAGCTTCTTTTTCAGACAAGACTAATTTGTCTTCTTGTGAATACCGAATTACTGGTTAAACATTGATAGTCGAGTTGACTATGCCCGCGGCTATTGTTCAGGACAGAGATACTAAAACTACCCCTTAGTGATTGGATTCATCGGTACAGTTATTCATTCTTCTGTCATCGGATAAGAGCGGTGGTTACAGCGAGAAGACCTACCTATCCCAAATACAATCTCACGATGAAGTCGACTGGACAAATAATATAGCTGCGATAGGCTGCAGTAAAGGAACTCTAAGTATCTTTAATATTTATGACGCAGGTAAGGCATACGTTTTCTCCTGTTTGTAGACTCACGACAAAATAAACATAGGTTGCAACTGTTAACACTAAAGAGTTGAAAAACCAAGTATATAGCAAGCTTTGATCGCGGATTGATGAAAATATTACTATCAACTGTAATTTAGCTGGAAAAATTGTGAACTACGTGTACTGCAGACAGGTATTCCATGGGAGCCGCCTTGATGCCAACCCGCTTTGTGTTCGACTGTTCGTCCAGGTAAAAAAATCATAGGTCTGGAGACAAAGTGGTTGCAATTCATGTATTGCCGTTTACTAGTGTATTTTACTACCACACTAGAATCCTAGTTCACTTAATTCGTCCCAAGTAACTCGTGGATCTCCTGTTGTTCTATACTACCGAAATTTGCAAAAAATCGCTTCAAACTCACCAAGAATTCACAAGTACTTCATATATTTCACCTAGAAGAGGAAAGAATAACTAGGATGTATTTCAATTGTCTCCTGCACAATGTAGAGAATGGCATGATAAACAACAAGAGCTTCATAATCCTTTGACTCACTTGGTTATGCTTAGTGTTGGAAATGCTGTGTTGATATGAGTGGGACAGTATACAGCAAGAATGAAACTGCAGTCTGGAATTTAATCAAAAATCAGGCATTCTTGGTCCTATATTCTTTTATGCAATGCACACATTGGAAGCACTAACATTATGTAACACGTTCTACCGCCAAACATTATTTTCTTCCCACGTGGTCGGCTTGAGTTGCTGGTGCTTGCTTGTGTCCACACGTTGCTGCTCGGTTACGTACACGCCCACATAGTTTGGGATTCATCTTGCTTCCATACACAACCCTACAGAGCGGTTGCTCATCCAAATGAAGGTAGTTAGTAGCATATTTTGTGGATATACCCAACAATCAATTCCGGTAAATGCGCACTGTCTCGGAATACATGGCATGTAATTGACTGTCTCCGCGGATTCATGAATTTAACGGTGAGCTTGCATCAGCTGATCGATGACTTGCTCAGTCAGATGCTCTACTGATGTCCTACTGGAACAAATAACCACAGATTTCAGGAAAACGTTACTAAAGCCGCACTTACTAGGACAACAGCTTCACCTATAGGACAACCTTAGATAAACACTTAACCCTTTCGGTACTCAGTGCCGGCGTATTTCTCGTGCGTTAGGTAGAGGAAAAGAACGCTTTCAAGTTTCCACAAAATTAAGCTAGAGCTATGGATAGTTTTTAACGCTACGGTGTGCTTGGTAGCTAAGTATGGAAGAGCTTGTCTTAGGGATAATCTTCGTCTTCTGAACTTTGGAAACTAGTCTGAGATGGGTCGCGTTATGTTGGCTAATTTCTTGGTGACGGTGGATGAGGCCAAGCGCGTTGGTCCCGAGACTTAGCTACTAGCTGTCAAAAGAGATTAGATGTATTGAACATTTTTGCATGTTCAAGAAAATAATAAATGTTTAGCTGTCAACGGACAGAGTGAAATGGATCGTAAACATTCAACTTGATGATGAAAAGCTGGATCATGTATGATACCGGAGAACATCGAATGGAAACATATCCAACAAATGCACCAAAGCAAACAAGATCATCTAGGATGAGCTGTTACAACCGCTTCTTTTGCTATTCTTTAATGTCACCTCCTATGCGGTTTTATTCCCTTCCAACCTAATTCATACCAACTGTTTTCTATCTAAAACCGAGAGCGAAATTACTGGTGTGGGGCCGGGAACTATTTTCATCATTCTCCCCATAAATTGATTAATTCGTAATATTTTTCTGTGATTCCCTTCGCTACGTTTGTTCTGCAATGCTAACCATTTCCCCTTCTTATCTGTAGTTAACACCCCAGAGACATATACTGGAATTCAGTGATGGCAATAACGGATTATCTATTTGTCTTTTTGCCTATGGATAACTCGTACAGTTAACTGTCACGGGTTGTCGAGCCGCACAATTTGGTCGTATGATCGGCTCGATCCATTTTTACGCTAGTGGAAAAACCTGCCTGCTTATTTTTTACATTAACCATATAATACCTCTGGGCTGATCTCCAGTGTTGACGGATAATAGCTTCCAGATTATAAAAGACTTTACCTATGCAAGGCACATTGCCACCAATTGACTGGCGTAGGAAAAAGTGCCATAATTGGTTGATCCGCATGACGGACTGGGCTGAGGCTTCATCGCCCATAATACATGTATAAAAGGGGCCCTAAAAAGTACACAACATATGATAAACAGGTGATGGCTCATAGGCTACTACGCCAAACCGGCACGCGGGCAGGCATAGCATGGAAGTGTGGGTGAAACCTTTCGAGGGAATATCTTGCATGGAAGCAGGTTCACTGGGGATGGTTCCACGAGTGGCCGTATTACTTTACCTGGACGTTTGTTTAAATCTACATATGTTATTCTTTCTGGCTTTTTAATTTCGTCAATACCCGTTTTGGATCCATTGCAAAAAGCGTGTACAAACTGATTATTTTTTGCGATCCTGTTGTACACATTGATCACACCACATAGTTGGACTGCACCTCGCATCGCCGGGGAATAGACCATTTATTTATTTACCAAGAGGGTTATAGTAACAGATGTGTGAGAATTCCTGCCTGGGTTTTAATTGGATTATGACACTGTTCACTGTTTTTTGCACTACTGTGAGCGTCTAACGTAGTGTAACCGTGTCATAGCATCGTCAAGGCGTTTTCGATTAGTTATAGTTTGGAGGGCATTAATTAAATGCTCTTAGAGGGAGTTTCAGGGCTCTGACACCCGCAGTCAAAAGGTTTCGTCAAAAATCTACTCGTCTCTACTGTGTGGTCAACTTAAACTTATGATCCATCGGAGATGTGATTTGACTGTTTTAAAAGTTGGTGACAAGTGTGTTTAGTTTTTTAGGATGGCACACTCGCGCCGTAGACGCCGATAACCTCTACTGTACACATTTATTTCTCAGCTTGAATGGGTAAATAATGTGAAATAAGCGTTTTGCATTCTTTGTCATCCTGCGATATCGAGCGGGGTGACATGGCGCTTCTTCCATGGGCGCCACGCTTGGATAGCGTATCCCGCGTGTTAGCTAGCGCACGCGTCAAGAATTTTCTGAGAGACTGAGACATCGACCCTCCCGAAAGTCTTGTGAAGCAAGCCGAAGCACTGATTTGCTTTCTTGGATACCTTTGCAGTCTACCTGAAACACCCAAGCTTATCTTACCCAAGCAAGCAGAGATTGTACTCATGTGAAGCTTGTGTATAATTTGTGGTTTTAGCAGGTAATTGTGAGCTCTAATGACGTGTGCTCAGAACTATGTACTTGTGCATCTTACTGCAGCATGTGCTTTTTAGACCATGCGTACGCTCTATCCATTTTGCAGAGCCGTTTGCTCCTCCACTGTAGTGATAGCCTGCCATATCTTCAGATCATCAACGAAGTTTAGGAAATGTTAAGATAGCACCACAGCGAAATAATTTGGGAAGATAAAGACAGGCGGACGTCGAGTACCTGGCCCTGAGAGGCGCCGGTTAGGAGTTCGATTGGTTGGCATACTGTACTGGGAACCGTTATATTCATGGGACGTTGGACGAGAAAGTCGCCTATCGAGCCCAGAACGAGATCGCCGATTCTAGATATGCGATGCCTTTGAGAAATCCCGGTAAACCGTATCTGCTACACCAGCATCCATCGATTCTGTCCAGTATGCACGAGCGTTCAACAGGTTAGTAGTACAGAACCGATTGGGGCAAAATCCGTACTGCTCTGGTGTGGTGATTTTGTTACTATCCAGGTGACCATGTGTGTCACACCGACAATGGACTCCATGATCTTGGAGATTATCGGGAGTAGTTCTGTCGAGCGATACTTCACTGGTGATGTTCGGTTACCACATTTTTAGATTTGGGTAATGTTACTGCGTATCCGTATCATGTGGATCTTTATCTCGTTAAAGGATCGCTCAAAGAATATTGCTAACGGTTTAGCTAAACTCATGGTAACCACAATCAACCCCTTTGGGCCGACGCCGTCTGCACATGGGGAACTGTACTGGTGCAAGGATATCAGTCACTTCAATAGATTTATAGTTATAAAGTATATGTGGTTGATCTATGACGGCAGCATGAGCTGTGTAGGCGAGGCTTAAAATTATTGCAAACTTTGGAAGGTACGGCCAAACTGTTGTTTTAAAAAGTTGGCAGCTTCTTGTGCCGTTTGTGCTAACTCGCATACTGTGTGCAAAACAGGAATTCCATGCCAACCATGTGAAGTTTGTCTGTGTATCAATATAGAGCAAACTTTTGTCTCCAGGTCTTGTCGGCTAGGCAGTGTAAGGGTGCAAACCAACCCGTGCACAGTTGACCTAAACGGATAGTAATCATCTAGGCACGTGACATCCGTTTCGTTAATGAGATGGTCACACTCCCGTCACAATAAGCTCAACAGGTTTAGGCGTAGGCTGAAATCTTCGAAGCGATTGTGCATCTGGTTATTGAACATAATCCTTTAAGGCTGCGTCCGTTGCCGGCTTCACCTTATACGATACACACAGACGTTCTTCTTTCAGCGATACAACACAAGGCGGAAGTGTGTGATCCGAATGTCGCCTACTATACGGCCATATTTTTCGAGGCATGCCTGTGTATGTTACATCTGACCACCGTTGCGGGCTTCCAGCAGTGCCCATGAAGGAGTAATGCGTAGATCCGACGTCGCATGGCTGTCAAGTTCGCATTCTCCTTGCAATGCAGCCTTGTCTTGATTTTAACTTGAAAATAAATCGGCTTTTGTAGGTTTTTATTGAGACAACATTTCGCCTTTGGGAAAAGAACTTTATCAGGCCAGGTGAAGCAGTGCACAATCGCTTAACTTCTTATGGGAAACTAGAGTGAAAATTGAAACAAATGAAACGAATCATTGGATAATAGTGTTACAGGTAAATAGGTCAAGTGAACATTTCGGTGTACAACTGGTATCGTGCGTTCATCGTTGCTAAGCGTCAACGGTAGTTCACATTTGAGACATTCCTGTTCCTGCTGCTGCTGATTTACGCTCCGACCTGGGTACGTCCGCGGACATGTTTTCTGACTGGTCGGATGAAGACAGCCGGTCACGCATTTGGTAACTCAACTCCGTCCGTTCTACTTACGCTACGGTCAGTCTTCTTAACCTTAATCGCCTCAGCAATCAACCTCTGACTTGCTGCTCGTAATTCTGCCTTCATTACCATGAGATTGTCCCAGCTGATTTCGTGTCCCGCGTCTAGCGCGTTACGGCCACCGCTAAATCTCTTAATAGGGTACCGTTTTCGGACTCCTCTCGCTGGACGCGAAATGTGTCTTCTTGTGTATAATTCTATTGCTGTTTGACCTACGTACACTTTTCGTATTCTTTCAACGGAATCTATAAACGCAACTGGTCTTCCTATCTCTTGTCTTGTTTTCTCTTCACCTGTGGCAGTTTAGGATTTAGAGGAGACCACCGACCATCAACTGAATCATTTCATTAGAAAACTCACTAATGGTTATGAGGCGCAATACACTTCAACTTATGATACGTCATTTGGCTAAGAAAATAGAATTTCGCTGTGTTTCAGTGAACCAGTGTTGTAACCGCTGCATCTCTGTCGGTACCGTCAACCTGTGGCCACCTTGTTCGATTAGGTGCGACGCTGGGTCAGTCGGCAATTCATCAATAGACTTGCGACGTTGTGTTATTGATTTGTTCATGTGGTAGAAGTTAATTAGTCAACATGCGGCCAAAATGTTTACAAACGTGTTAAGACATGCCAACGCCCGTTTCCTACGTTTTGCAGAGGCAGTCGCGATCAGCCGCATCAAACCCGCACTCTGCGTGCAGAAACAGCTGTTCGTAGGCCTACAGCTGCCCAGGGCGTAGGGGTGTCACGCCTGCCCCTCTACCCTGTTCTAACTTGTTACGGTCTCACCCTACCTGTCGTCTAATATATTTTCATGTTATTGTGTTGGCACTGAAGAGGCAGTACGAAATGTTGACACCTGCCAGTGTTCGTCTTCTTACCGCATTATTCAAATTACGAAAGGGATCTAATTGTTTCAAACATGCGAAAAATCCACTTCGTAGACAAGTTTACCAGTGTCGAAGCATTTTCATGCTATGAAAGCAATATTAAGGTTGTTTGTGTAAACACAACGTTATAATGCACAACCGAATTTTCATTTAAACTTGCCGGGTAACATTGGCTTGAGCTAAGATCTAAGTGAAGGTGTTGGATGACAGACGTCTCGGAGTACTGACCCATTGAGCAGCACAGGAAATGCTTATCACAGGTACCATGAATCCATTGTATGGTGTCGCAACATCCGTATTGTGCTTAAACTGAGACACACTGCCAAAACACACCCTTAGCTGCTTCCAAGCGATTAAATTACACAAGGTTGTTCTGAAAACGAACTTATTTCTAGTTGTGGTTGTCGCATCCCAACCGTCACATCATGTGGCTAAATCTCGAGTAGGATCATGCGTATGGGACTCTAATTGTTTTATCAGGCCGCAGATTTTGGTATTGATAACCATAGAAATATCAATTTATTAGCAAACTTGAATATAGATGTTAATTCCTATGTTCGTTTTGAAGAGGCAGTTTAACGGTTCGGCGGTTTTCTCGTTTGCTTTTGATGTAACCACACATTTCTACCATACCTGGACGAAGCGAGAGAATCGTCAGGACGACACAAGAAAATTGGGAGAACACGTTCATCTTCCACAAATTTCAAAGATATGACGGCACATCCAGTAAGATCAAACATGCAACTGTGTAGTTTTTCATATCTGCTAAGTTGTCAAAAGTACGTATTAACACGCAAACTGCGCCTGATAGTCCGCGAAAGAAGAGAAACACTTGTTCGTTTTTAGTTGGAGAAAATATTCCTTTGAGTATATCCTACATACGGATTGGTCAAGTTCGTTAGCATACATCAAGCAATCCAGAATGGGAAATCTGTAAGCACGGACTTTTCAATATTCCGAAAACACGGAAGAGAATGGTCCTATAGAAACACGCCAGAGACTCACCTCGTTATGTCTGTACTCATGATTGGATTGTAATAGACTTTGAATCTGATTCAGCTGCCTTCGTATCTCAGCTGCTGTCGTCACTGAGGATTTCTGCTTCGAATGAAGCGACCGATATAGCTGAATAACAGAGAACAAGGTTTATTACAAGTAACGTTTGAAGTAAATACTAAAAAGTTTTGTTTAGTACCTTTCTTTTATGGAGGACTTAAAACAACCATCTTACACCTTGGTAGTAGTATACTTATTTGTTTGCTTACTACATAGGTAGGTAATGACCTGATTTCTATCTAGTGGGCAGATAGTTTTATGCACTGGTGCTGAAATTTGTAGTGAACCTGAAACATTTACGCTTTCAGTGTCTTAGGACAATGGATTAAATTGCTCCTCGTACATTCCAATCCTCCATTTGTTTTACTGATTATGCATCCCCCTCGCTTGCACATCTCCGGTGAGTCGCGCGGCTACATTGCCCTCTGATCTTGCTTGCGTTCACTTGATAATACATGTTTAGTCCAGTCGCTCTTATCTTTTTCCGTATTCTTGTACTTTTTGTGGCTCTTACATGTCATTGCTTACGACTAGCACCTAACAGATTCCGTAGACAGGGCATACCGTGCTTAAATTTTGCACTCAGAGACGTATGAATGCTGCATGGCAGAAATGAAATGAACTAATGTGTGAGTGGGTGTTATTAACAGCCAGCTGATGGTTATCTAAAGCTAGATTTCTTACATAAGAATAAAGCTTTAGTCGTCCTTTGAAGAGACGCCGTTTATTGTTTAAAAGCAACGGCACTGATGTTAGGTTACTGTGCAGTACCTCAGTGAACTAATTAATCATGATATAACACTTTATGCCCTGCTTCTTCTGGCAACAGAAGGCGCGATATTACATGACTATGGAATAAACTCCACAGTTGTACTTTCTGGCCGTAATGAGGTAGTTAAAATTTGACTCAGAAGACGGTTGTTGGAATTTTTCAAGCGTTGACCAAAGCGCGTTCTACATAGTTTCTGAACTACTGTGTTCCCAGCATAAACATAAAGTCTTTCAAAAATAAAATGTCTGGCAGACCAACTTAAGTGCATGTTAAATAGACTATTAGATTGTGCGCAGCACGACGTAAAATTGTTAGCGATTATTCCGTTTTTTGAAACCTATAATAGAGCTAGGATGATTTGCTTGTATTACATTCTTTATCGCATTAAAAGTGGAACAATAGTATACTACTGAAATACTACAAGCTTGACGAGTATCCTAGATTGGGCTGTGTGAAATACAAAAATTTAAAATGAAAACAGTTTGCACTGAAATAAAAGACACATCTATGTACTCACCATAATATCCATCTTACACACATGCACGCACTAAATGGCTACCGACAAAACCGCTTATGCACTACAAACCCGTAAATTGCACGCAATAGGTGGACTGAATCGGATGGTGCCGGAGCAGAATTGGACGTCATCCACTGGAATTCCCAAAAGCGTTTGCTATCTTCTACCACCGTATTCTCCTCTATAAACTTCAGATTTATGGCAATGGTGACACACTGCTCTTTTGGATAGACAATTTTCTGCACGAACCTCGATTGTAGTTGAAAGTACGAGAATGTTTGTTCAACTCAATGGAGGTGGAGTGGGGTGTACCACAAAGCTTGTTACTATGGTTTCGTCTATTGTTAGTTTCCATGCATTATTTCGTTAGGGTAATGACTTCCGATCGCCCAGTATTCACCGATGATATCAAGTTATGGTGGGTGGTCAGGGAACTGCATGGTCAGAAAATCTCCAAAAAGACCACAACACGATTTCGAACTAGTTAGTTCAAAGTACCCTACCATTCAATGTAGACAGTTACGCCATAGTAATGAGTACGTGTATTGGCTTGAGTCACAAGTTTTGCAGACCACTTCACAGAAACGGGACCTTAGTGTGTTCAGTCAATTGAACTTAATTATGAAGAACAGTCTGCGGCAGCTGCGAAAAGATGGAACTAGCACGTTGGCCTGCTACGGAAAGGATTCGGAAGTTTTGACCCATCCTCATTTCCGTTGAAACACAATTCTTTCGTGCTCCCTCATTTTGAATACGCCATCAAAGCCTGATAATATTGGTTAGAGCGCGACCCGGAGGTACCAGAAACACCACTACGCAGGGATAATAAGAACATCAATGGTCTGCGCAATCCGTCCTACGAGGAAATGATGAAGTCACTGGGACTTTCCTGCGGCCGAAAGCTGCCCGGGGATCGCATTTTAGTGTACCAAATATTAAGCGATCCTAAACCAATATGCCGTCAGTTGCTGAAAATTAATCATAGCACTAAGCCAAGAGGTAACTTTTTGAGACTGAGTAAAAATTGCAGTCGTCTGGCATGTCGACAGTATTATGGTTCTTTTGGATTTTGTCAACCATGGAACTCTCTCCCAGCTTAGATATTTTCAAAAACGATGAGATGTAGCCCTAGGCCCCCATCACTTCCTTGTCTAAGCTGTGCTGCTTTGGAATATATTAGTTAGGCCTTTAAGAGCGATTTATATGTCATTTAAACATAAGGAGGCTGTACGTGAGTGAGTATTCGCGCTTTCATTTTCACACGGAATACTCCAGATATAAATGCCCCGTAATGTATTATTGTTTACATAATATGCATATCTGACACTACTGTTATTCAGCGAAACATTCGTTCGATAGACACTTAAACAGACAACACATATCTTTTGTTAAGTTTACCCATACCATCCTACTGGAATTGCCAAGCAATTGGCTTTTAACTCGTGATAAATCCCTGTTCTTTGTACGTACATTTCGCAGTAAACTTGATCACCCTGAAAAGCAACGATGCTGTGTTATGCGTGCATGTGCATAAATACACATGACCTACTCAGAAAATCGGCCGATTGGAGACTTCGACATGCGTCAGCAGCTTGGAACTTCGTTAATATCATGGGAAAATGGTTGCACAGTGAGATAACGAATGTCGAAATCGTGCTAACAGGTATGTCCGTCGTCCGGAATAATCAAATCAGCAAACGTGATGGGATAGCTCTCTACTTTTGTAACAACCTGCAGTGGAAAACCCATACACGATTCGGAAACCGATGCACTTGTCTCCGTTTGGTGTAGCTTACGGCTAAGAGAGAAGGACCTTGGCCTAGTGGCTGTTGTTTACCGCAAACCATCGTCTACACCTGAGATGGACTGCAACTTGGTGGATGCGTTGAGGCAGGTGATAAACAGGAAGTACAGTCACGTGCTAGTAGCCGGGGATTTTAAGTTGCATGTTTAAGAATCCAAGGTCACACCAGGACAGTAATTCGAAGCAGACCTGCAAAGTATTGTCCCATATTTTCCCCTTTATGGCCACGGCACTTAGCACACCGCATTCAGGGGAATAACAAGCCATCTATGTTGGACCGAATATTCACTAATAAAGGACTGCTGAGCGAGAGAGTGCCAATCGCTTATCAGCTAGATCGCAGTGAGCAAGTGAGTTTGTATTCCATGCGCAATTGCTATGCTGCATATTCCGAGGATAGAACTCAAACAATGCGACCCATAGCCGATTACGCCATCTTAACCCGTCTCCTTGAAGCGACCAACTGGAGTTTCCTGAGGAAGCACCGGATATTGCCTGGGAACATTTTATCAGTAAGTTTAACAACTTGGTTAGTGGGGCATCGGAAACAAAGACTGTCAGTTCGAGAAACATAACCTCGTTCATACGGAGTAAGACACGCGAATGCATGGTGACGAGCAACGTGGCGTGGTATACACCCAAAACAGATCCGCGTTCGGCTACCTGGAAGGATACGTTATCCACCGTAACCACTGTACCCAATTAGTACGCGAGGACAAAGTAGCTTTCCAACATGCTTTAGCAGAGCGATTTACTTCAAATCCTAAGCTATTGTACAAGCATAAGAGCAGCCTCCGCAAGGTGAAAATTGGATGTCCCCCTCTTCAAACAGCGGATAGTCGAACTCGGACTACTAAAGAAGCTTCGAATGTTCTGCAACCACCATATGCACCAACCTTTCATTGCATCCTGTGGTCTCCCGGACCTATGAAAATTACGGTGCTTCCACTAGGACTCACTCATCTTAATTTTACGGAAGACACCCAGATGAGAAAGCTGCCAACCAAAGCACCGGCACGCCTTTCCAGGAATAAACAACATCCGCCTAAAAACGATTGTTGTGGCAAATAACCGTTAAAGCGGCTGTACACGCACTGCCTTGACGAGAGGAGCGTTACTTCGATGTAGAAACACGGGAACATAACTCTGGTGCAAATAGGTAATCATTCTGACCCAGTTAATTATTTGCTAGTGAATCTACTATCAATTCTCTCATAAGTCATGGAGTTTATCATTACCGAGGCACTCAAGTCTTATCTGGAAAGCTTTGGTCTCATTGCTCGGCAGCAACACGGCTTCCGCCTGAATCGGTAGTACACCACAAACCTATAGTTAGCAGAAGACAGTTGGACCAAAACGGTGGATTTTGGTGCAGAAGTTGATAGGGTTTAACTTGATTTCTCTAAAACAGTCGGCCGGTTGGATCTTTCTTTCCTTCTTGTCAATATTCAAGGATGCGGCATTGGGGAGCCTCACTTCGGATGGATCTGCAACTTTCTATCGCACAGGCGTCTATTGATAAGAGTATGGGAATTCATTTCAGGCTCAATTTACATCAATGCTGTGTGACACAGGGTCTCGTTAATCCTTGGTCTTCGTAAAAGGTCTAGTATAACAAATTAAATCAAACTTTTTACTCTACGCCAATGACATCAAAATTGGGCGAGCAAGCAGCGCTCAAGAAACCATACCCACCTTCAAAACAATGTTGACACCATATATAGATGGTCGGTCCAAATTCGACTTTTATTCAATGTGGGTACATGTCGAGTGCTCCATTTAAGACACCGAATCATTCATACATATGAGCTTAGGGAGCAGAAACTGCAGCCCTGTTCTCTCGAGAAGGATCTTGGTGTGTTGGTTCAGGAACATCTCGGATGCTCGGACCATTCCAAAAAAGCATCAAAGAAGGGGACAAAAATCGTGTACTTTCTATGGAGAGCTTTTGGGCAATTCAAACGGTCTATCCTCTG